CGCCCTCAAGTTCATTTTGAGTCTGATACCACTTACCAGCATTATCATACATAAGAAGTTGGTTGAAATCTTGTCTGACATACCATATTTTACCATCTCCTATCTAGGTAACTAGTTAGGAGAATTCCTATTTTTTCTGATATATTACAAATCTAAGATGATCAATATCCGATAATTTTAGTTGGTATGAAATCTTGTGGCTCAAAATCAAAGGAATGTCATGTATTTTTGTTTGATTAAAGAAATTGTGGTTCACAAAAATGTCATTTCATTAAATTTTCAACTTTCACAGTGACAGTAGTGCAGTACCCAGTACTCACTCAGTTATCTCAGTACTTAGCTGAATTAGCTCCCATTGAAATATCCTGCCAAACAAGTCACCAAAATGTTTTGTTCGAGATCGCATCCTAGTAGGCTATGATAGTTTTGGTTCCATTACTCGGTTACTGCTTACTGGCATTACAACTTAGGTACAACAGTTATGTCAGACTGCATTATGGGCACAGTGGCAAAGCAGCAATTTTTTTAGACTCTTCATCAAGTTCATTTTTGAGTCCTATAAGTAGACCAGGAAAGAATCTTGGATACCAGCATTTTCATACTTAAGAAATTGATTAAAATATTGAGTAGGTGAGGAAATTAAAAATGAACTGATTCTAAATAATCTCTGGTTTGCCACTATGATTATGGGATGACAGATGACTGAAATAGCCCAGCATTGCCCAATACCAGGATAATTTTCATAGCTACTAGCCTACCAGGCTGTAGAGTAGGGCCTTTCAGCTCGAGATATTGGCGTCTTTTCAAGCTCTCCATCAGCCACCTCGACCTTAAATCGGCGTCCATAGCCGATCATAAACTATGGCTCAGGCAGCCATGACCGATCATAAACTATAGATTGCTCGATCACCGCGCCCATCTTCAGCTTGTTTGATTGCTTGGATCTGTCACCCGATCTCAATGTGCATAGCCTACGTCTGGCAAGCCCAATGCTACTGCTGAAAAAACTTGTCAATCTATTGTGTTCTAACGTGATCTATTGTGTTCTAATGCGATCTATTGTGTTCTAACGTTGTCTCTTATACACATCT